TTTGACCCGACCCAAATCGGAAGTGGACCCCACTGATAATTGTACCACAAAATAGCCACTTAATATGTCATTTTATGTCATTTTAAGCTAATTTTCCAACATCTTCCACCAATTTTTATTTTATTTTTAAATTAACAGCGTGACTTTTCTTTTTCATATTCACATTTTGCGGTTTCACTTCCTCTTCGCGCAAGTTTCTTCAACACTCATAAATTATGAATGTACAGGCGTGGATTTATGAATGTGCAACTATGAAATTATGAATTTTCTTTTATGAGATTATGAATTTTCTATTATGAAATTATGAATTTTCTGTTATGAGATTATGAATTTTCTGTTATGAGATTATGAATGTACAGAAAATTCATAATTACATAACTGTAAATTCATAATCTCATAACAGAAAATTCATAATTTAATAATTGTTTTTCTTTTATGAGATTATGAATTTTCTGTTATGAGATTATGAATGTACAGAAAATTCATAATTACATAATTGTAAATTCATAATCTCATAACAGAAAATTCATAATTTAATAAATATAAATTCATAATCTGAACATAGAATGCAAAACGCCGTTAACAGCACATCAACTAATTTTTATTTTTATTTTGGTAAAAACGATACCGTTTAGGACCGTGTTCACCAAGCATGGTGAACACGTTTCCACGGCATAATTTGTGGATGAGGTTGGGAAGGTAAAATATTACAATTTGATTTTATTTGGACCATTAAGCAAAGTTTCTATAAGGTTTCGTCACTTGTAATATTGGCCCAAATAAGCAATCAACATAAGAGATATATGAGGAAATTGGACAGTCGTTATATCGTGGATCGCGGTGCATAATCTTGCACTGCGCGTCAAAACGACATCGTTTCTGCCGTTATAACGGAGTGACACTATAGTGTATCTAAACTAGGGATGACAACGGGGCGGGGTGGGGGCGGGGAATGGGGTCCCCGTCCCCGAATTTGCCCCCCATTCCCCGTCCCCGCCCCGTTTCCCGGCGGGGATTTTTCGGGGACGGGGAATCCCCGCCCCATATTTTATTTATGCAATTATGCCTATTAAATAAAAAGACTAATTTTTCAAAAAATAAAAAATAAAAAGACTAAACTTAAATTAATACAAATATCCAAATTGTTCAAACTTACAAACATACAAATATCCAAATTGTTCAAACTTACAAACATACAAATATCCAAACTTACAAACTGTTCAAACTCCTTCAAACTTACAAAACAAATATCCAAACTTACAAACTATTCAAACTCCTTAAAAAAAAAAAGACTAAACATAATTCTCAACATTCAAGTACTATAATGGTCCTTATTTCCTCAATTCTTCATTGATGACCTGAATAATAATAATAATAATAATAATAATAATAATAATAATAATAATAATAATAATAATAATAATAATAATAATAATAATAATAATAATAATAATAATAATAATATTATTATTATTATTATTATTATTATGAACCATTAAACAATAAACACTAAATAGTAACAATAAACACTAAACAGTAACAATAAGATGACAAACTAAAATAAAGAGTAAGATTAAAAACTAAACTAAACAGTAAGATTACAAACTAATTAAACAGTAAAGATTAAAAACTAAATTAAACAGTAAAAATATACACTAAATTAAACAGTAAATATTACAAAAATAAACACTAAACAGTAAACAGTAAATATTACAAAAATAAACACTAATTAAACAGTAAATATTACAAAAATAAACACTAATTATAGACTAAACAGTAAACAGTAAAATTAAACCAGTAAAATTACAGACTAAAGATTTCAGTCATATATATTATAACATATTATAACATATATATTATTATGTTATAATATATATAATTTAACGGGGAATCGGGGACGGGGCGGGGATCGGGGACGGGGACGGGGCGGGGAATGCATTCCCCGTCCCCGTCCCCGTCCCCGGCGGGGATTGGGAAATTGCCCCCATCCCCGCCCCCGTTCCCCGAAAAAAATCCCCAAACCCGCCCCCGTCGGGGACGGGTTCAATTGCCATCCCTAATCTAAACTGACACTGTCTCACGTATTATTTTTATATTATCAAATGAAACTGCAGTTATATCAAAATGATACTGTAGTTGTGATGAAATGAAACTATAGTATATATAAAATGAAACTGAATAACATTTCACATATTTGAGTGTATATTGTACAATGAAGCTGTAATTATATTGAAATGATCATGTAGTTGTGTTTTAATGAAACTATAGTGTATATATACAATAAAATTAAATAACATTTTCACATATTTGAATGTATAAATATTGAATGAAACTGTAGTTATATCGAAATGAAACTGTAATTCTGTTAAACTGAAACTGCAGTGTATACAAAATGAAACTGAAGAATAGAGTTATTTTTTGCAAAGATTCCATTTCTTTTCATTAAATAAAACGTCGTTTTAATGCGCGGTGCACGATATAATTTGCTTAAATTGGATGAACCCTATATTAATTCAAATTTTACTAAGAAAGCGGATATATATATAGCTTGCTGTATTTTTTTTTTATTTATTTTATTTTTTTTTAGGATGTTGTGGTTAACCCTTCTTTGTATTTTTAAAAAAAAAAAAAAAAAAAAAAGCATTATCCTCAAACATTGTTTTTTAAATGACGATGGTGACTAACTCCATTATCTTTATCAATAATTAGACAAAGAATATATAAGGGTGATCTAACTGTGCTGGTCTTCATCTTTGTTCCAGCTACTCTTTGCCTTTGTCCACAACCATGAAAGGAGACAAACCAAACAAGAACAAAGAAGCCTTCATCAATATCTACATTTGGTAAAGATGAAGGCATTAGCCTTTGTAGACAAAGATGAGCTAAACACAATTTTTTCTTTGAAATATATCAATGATTGTCATGTAGTCGTACTTTTAATGTAAGAAGACGGGTTCGCAACATCCAAAAAAGTCAATAAGCACCCATTAATTGTCCAGTTGTACTATATAATAATAATAATAATAATAATAATAATAATAATAATTATTATTATTATTATTATTATTATTATTATTATTATTATTTATATATATGATGCCATATCAACAAAAGTTTAGTTGCTACCTCTGATTTACCTTCAATTTTTGTTTTTTTTTTCTCCTAATTTAATGGTCTATTTGAAGATTTTTTTTTTTTTTAATTTTTAGAAGGGTATATAATTGCATTTTTGTAGAAATATAAAAATTTATTATAGCTTTATCTAATTATTATCTCTATACTATCATACTGTAATTGAAGAAATAATAGTGCTATTTTTTCAACAACTTTTCCAACAACTTAATCTGTTGGCCAACTAAAACACAGGTATGTTTGTAATTGCCAAATGCCAACGTACAAATCTAGCATGTTGCACTTGCACGTGCATGTAATGTGCGGCTTATTCCATGGTCCATGTTAGCTCATTGTTTTACAATTCTGCCACGCCACATACTGACATAGTGACATCCACCGCTCTATTATTTTCAATATTCTTTTCAACATTATGCCCTTTAATTTCATTTATTTTCAACAAAAATACTTTTGTTATATAGTCAAATACAAACCACTATATATTTTGACCCCCCAAAAAAGCTACTCCGTATAATATTAATGTTTATTTATCATCTAGAAATATTCTTATTTTTTAAAAAAAGTTTAGGTAATTAGACCATTTCCATCCAACATTACACTAAAATACTATGGGTGTGTTTGGTTCTCGCACATGAGAATCGGAATCGGAATCAGAATGGGTATCAAATGCTTTGTAATGGTAATGAGTTTTGATGAAAGTATTTAACATGTTTGGTAATAAGGTGGAATGAGAATGGTTACTAATAGTAGTACTTGAGAATGAATAAGGGAATGAAATCCTTATTTTATTTGGGTATGAATTTTTCAATTAATGAGGTATTCGAAACCTATAGTAGTGTTCTAAAAACCTATCAACCAAATAATAACAATCACTTTCATACACATTCATATGGACAGAACTCATCAACCTTTATCCACTAAATGTCACATCAAAAAGAATATTCTCAGCATATTCTTACACCAAATTTTATTCATCCCAAACCTAATTTCTACGCTAAAATAATTTGATTTCTCATTTATTATTTTGAATTTAATTAGTTTAATATAATTTAGTTCGAACTTAATTAATTTAATATAAATTATAACTTTTGATGTGAATATAATTTTTATTAACATTACTTTTTTCATAATATTAATTTAAAAAAATTAACAATATGTATTTCAATTTTTATTTGAACGAATTTAACAATTAAAAAAATGTATGTATTTTAATTTTTATTATGTTATAATTATGTTTGATGTATTTGAAATTTTAATTAATATATATTCAATAATATAAACTTTAAATATAAATATTTAACAAAATAAAAATATAAACAAAAAACAAATACATAATATATTTGGAACTATCAAAATAAGCAAGAGCAAAATCGTAATCTTTCTCTCCCTCTCCCATTTGCTGCGAGAGAACAGTGCCGCGCCATATATGGTGTGGCACTGTTCACTAGCGGCAAATATTTTGCTATTTGCCGCTGGTTTCAGACCGAAAAATTGGTGGGATGGTGGAATGGCGTTGTATTTTACCATTTTGCCCATACGTTGGAGATGACCTTAGGACAACTCACAAGTCACCATCACCACTTGAGGGACTATAATGAGATAAATTAAGGAGACTAATAAGTCATTTTGAGTCAAACATGAAACTTTGAAGTTACTATGTTAATAGCTCGATCAACTTGACTAGGTTGACCCAATATTTATTTTTTTTTTTGAAAATTTTTTTGGTTATTATTTAAACAAAAATCCAAAAAAAAAAATTTAAAAATCCAAAAATAAATTATTTTTACAGTAAATTATAACTCTTTATATAATTATTATATATGTATTCGGCAATTGGGCGATCACGGAGCATGATTGAAGCTGACGCAGTGACGCCACGTGACAAAATGGCTGCTGGATACATAGCAAACTGGGATATTTCCATCCCGTTAGCTTCAAAAGCCCATCGGGTTTGAATGTTTGATTAATTGACTTCAAGATTGAAGATTCCACCTTTAAAGTTACTGCTCCGTATTATTTTTTTTCCTTTCTGTTTCCCCTTCGTTTTCCACCACGTTTTCTGTGCAGGCACACAAGGCATTCAATTTCTTGTTGATATTTCAGAAGCCTCTAGTCTTGGCGCTGAAATCTCATCACTTATCAGAAGATGGCTGATAAATCCGTCCCAGGTACTTCATACGTGAATATTTATGTTATGTTAATGCATGTACAAGCAATGGGTATAGGCTCTTTTGCGGTTTGGTTTCTTGAGCTTGGCTGGTTTGTTTAGTTTTCGATGGAATTTCCAGTTTTCCATATGCATTTCTGTTCTTGGATCTTTGTTACTTGGTCAAGATTGAAACTTTCTGGGTTCTCTTGGTTGTTGTAGTTTGTATGCGTATTTATTAGCGTTATAGGTATGGGCTTTTCAGAATTATGACATTGATCTCACAAAGAAACGAAAGTTAGAGAGAAAGGGAGGGAAGAGACAAACCTGGAGGGGTGTTATTATTTCAATCTTGATTATTGAGTTTGCCCTGGCAATTCTGATATCACATTTTAAAAGATTCTTTATGAATCTGAAAAATAGGTCCTTTTTTAATATCCTTTTGTAGGGGTTAAAGAATTTTTGGTAGGTTTTAACTTCTGTGAGCTCTGATATACATTTTGGTAGATTCATAGAAATGATATACTTGTGGCAGAAGTTAGTTCTTCTAGTAAGATCTGAAATTTGTAGTATTTTGTACTGAATGAGGCTTACTATATAACCCAATTGGGGAATTGGTTTTTTGGACAATATTATTGTCAGATCTTAATGGGAAAATTTCATCTTAGAAGCTATTTTTCTGTGATTTACTGTTTACCCAGCTCAATCATATTGGTTATACTCAACTGATCGTAAGAATTTTGATGCTTGTAGACTTAAAGAACCTCTCGATAGCTAGTAATGGGAAATCAGCAGAGAAGAGTCGGCTAGTTGTTTGTTTTGGGGAGATGTTGATTGACTTTGTTCCAACAGTTGCGGGAGTTTCTCTTGCAGAAGCTCCTGCCTTCCAAAAAGCTCCCGGTGGTGCACCCGCTAATGTAGCTGTTTGCATTTCAAAGTTGGGAGGTTCTTCGGCATTTATTGGCAAGGTGTATTTCTCTCTCCATTTCTTGTTTTTTTTGTATGGTTAGTTTGGATTACAACTAACACGTTAAAATGGATTCTTGGGTGATCGTGCCTTTTGCATATTAGGTGGGTGATGATGAGTTTGGTCGTATGTTGGCTGACATATTGAAACAACACAATGTTGATAACTCTGGCGTGCGGTTTGACAAAAATGCGAGGACTGCATTGGCATTTGTTACTCTTACTGCTGAGGGAGAGCGGGAATTTTTGTTCTTCCGTAATCCCAGTGCTGATATGCTTCTTCGTGAATCAGAGCTTGATATAGATCTTATTAAAAAGGTTTGCGTTTCAGTGTTCTGAAACTTTAAGGTTTATGCCGGTTTTACTAAAAACAGATTGCCTTGTATGCAGGCTGCTATTTTCCACTACGGTTCAATCAGTTTGATTGAAGAACCGTGTAGATCAACGCATCTTGCTGCAATGACCATTGCCAAAAAATCTGGTTGCCTACTTTCTTACGACCCAAATTTGAGGTTGCCTTTGTGGCCTTCTGCAGATGCTGCTCGAAGTGGAATTATGAGTATATGGGATCAAGCAGATATCATAAAGGTACGATTTGTGAGGAGATCTTTAACGGGGTCTTTGATTTAACCGCCTTTTATAATCTTTTAGGTAAGTGAGGATGAAATTTCGTTCCTTACCGGAGGAGACGATCCATATGATGATGACGTGGTGATGCAGAAGCTGTTTCATCCAAATCTGCGTCTTTTGATTGTAACCGAAGGCTCAGAAGGTTGCAGATATTACACCAAGGTACAGATTTACGCTTTTCTTTTCCTTTACATATATTTCTGTCCAACTCCCATGAAAACTTGGAATGCAAAATATAAATCGCCTTTTCTTTATGGTTTTGTTTTTTCTGCAGCAATTTAAGGGACGAGTGAAGAGTATTGCGGTAAAAGCTGTCGATACAACCGGTGCTGGTGATTCGTTTGTGGGAGGGCTACTCACGAGTTTAGCTTCCGACCTGAACCTCTATCAGGTGTGTGAATTACGCATCACGCCCCTATTGACCATCCATTAATTATATCTAATGTTATAATGGTACTTAGTATTTGTTTTGCAACAATTTGGCAGGACGAGAAGCGGTTGGGAGAAGCAATTTTCTTCGCTAATGCCTGTGCTGCCCTGACAGTAACACAGCGAGGAGCGATACCTGCACTGCCTACAAAAGAGGCAATTCAGCGCTTCATTTCAGAGGCAGAAACCGAATTTGCCAGCATCAAATAGGTTGCAGTGGGTTTATATTAAATTTTGTGGGTTTATATTAAACACTAGCTGTGGATCCATCAAGATTGCAGTGGCGTGACAGGGCTTAGCACAAGAGGAGGCGACGATGAGTTTGCACCGGGGACTAAATTTTGTTGGCCATGTAGTAGTGTGTACCATTTTGAATGTTGATTTTCTGCATCAACATCTTGTAATTTTTTTTTTTTTTCTTTATTCTACGGAGTTTTAGTTCGGTCTGGAATTTTTTTTGTCATGAAAGTTGCATTGCTCTTTTATAAAGAATCTGATTTGTGTTGTGTGCAAGCTGCTTGTGCTTCTAGTGCATGACTGTATAGCAAATGCTATAAGACTGCAGTTATGTAGTTCTGAGAATTGCCTTGGAATTATTTGCTTCTATCAAATGGCATTTTAAATTGAATTTAGTTAATTTTTTAAAAAATCAAAAGACTGAAATATATAATTATATTGATGACTAGACTAAAGTCTAAAAATATGAATGCCGGACAATTCGAGCGAAGTTGATTATGCTATTAACAATGTTACAAGTTCCTCTGGGTGTTTAGCATATGAAGATTAAGGTCTAACTTGTGAGATGATTGTGTGACTCATGATTTGTTTCTGTAGTGACAAGAACGGTATAAAGACTAAAGTCTAACTTGTGAGCTGATTGTGTGACTCATGATTTGTTTCTGTAGTAACTCTAAGAACGGGTCATGTACGCTTAAGATTAAAATCCGAATGTTCAACTCCCGGAGCGGCTTAGGACCTTCTTGACCAAGTCTAATTTAGTTCATTATTGAAGTTTATTTCGTGCAAGCCTTTAAATAATTTGACTCGGGTCGATACCATTAGGGGTGGTTCCATATTTTGGTAGCTCGAAAGGAGTGAATAGGCAATTCCGTTTTAACGTTTAAGAACTGGCGATAAACAGATCACAGGAATTATCCTTCAGGCGGCACGTGCTTGCCCGCCTAAAAGCAATAGAGGACGACGCTTCCGCACGCATTTTCGCCTGGGTCGCTGATTTTCGATACATCTGTCTCCTTCGTCGGTTTTCTAACCGGAATTACAGTGATCTCTTCTGTAATGGCCTCCAATGCCAATCCGGATCGCACCTCCGGCGCTACGGCCAAGCCTCTTCTTCTGCCGGATATAGGTCCCGATGGCATCGCCAGAGAATCCCCTGTCATCGCTTACACTGAAAAGGTCTCTCTCTCTCTCATTCTCTCTATGTATGCATAGATTTATGCCCGCACACGGCACACGCATAGAATTACTGGCAGTAGCATTTATACATTTGTGAATTTTGGGTTGCTTGTTTCAGATAATTGAGGAAGAGCAGCTTCAATTAAGGAAGTAAGTTTGACTTCTTACTTCTCTGCACGTATTTTCGATCCATTCATTGTCTTTCCGCTTCTATTGATTTTGACGTATTGCACTTGAGTGCTGTTTAATATTAGTGCATGAGTTGCTCTTTGTTGGTTCCTTGGTTAGCTGTATCGATTCAATTGTGTTTATCTCTATGGAGTGCTAGTGTATCTTATTTTGGTAATGATAGTATAGCCTAGTTCTAATTCTAGAGCTTAAGGCATATTTCCATAATTGAAACATTATGAGATTTATAAGAATGGCTGGAGATTTTGCATCTCTACAACTAGCACCTGGAAAGCATATACCTAATTGCCTATTGGCACCGTTCACTCCATAATTGAAACATTATGCTTTATCCTGTGACTGGGTGCTATATCTTTACACTTCAGCTGTTGATTGTTTGAAGATTGCAAACTGGATGGTTGAGTTAATGTTCTTTAACAAGTTTAACTGAACTTTGTTAAAAATAAAGAAGCAGAGTTTGTAACTTGTAAGAAGCTGATTCTCAAATACATAATTGTATATCACATGCCAATATCAAACACTAGACTGTTGAGAGCCAGAATAGATTTGAGATAACAACAGCAGGAATATTTGAATATGTGTATGTATACATTCCCTACTAACAAGATACTTGAATTTTATACTCCCTCTGTGTTATTTTGTTTGTCACATGTTCTATTTTGGGAAGTTCCAATGACTTTGTCACCTGAAAAGGATTGACTAATACATATGATAAAGCATTGTGGAAAACTGTTTAATTCATTATCATTCACACAGTTTCTCTACATTTGGAACACTTTTTAACTCAATTCAATCACTTTTATTCAAATTATCTAGTCTACCATTTCTCTCTCTCTCTTTTCCTAAAACTTCATGCTAGCCACCATGGTGACAAACTCTATGGAAGGGAGGGAGTAAAATGTGTTTGCATTTAGTACAGGTAGAGTTTCTCTTAGGCTTGTGCCTTAAATGGAGAGACACTCCGGAGATATGGAAGCTTAATCCTCTTTCCACTTTGATATTGAAGATTGATCTTGTTTCTGACTAACTCCTCTAGTAGTTAGAGAAAAAGGTCACTGTTATGAATCAACAAATGGAGTCAATCATCCTCATGAAGTGGTAAGAGGCAGATAAATGGGGATATATGCTTCTCAAGCAAGCTGGTTTTGGATGTGCCTGCAAGGGTGGGGAATGCAGAAATGAATCATGTGTGTCTGAAAACCCAAAAGTAATGGTTAACTAAAGCATGTGGAAAAATAAATATATAAAAGCTATTTCTGAAGCAAAGGTTAAATGTATAAATCCTTCAAGACGTTCAAGTAAATGATAGAATAAGGTTGTGAAGGCAACTTACTACGTAACACTGTTCAAAGTGAAGTGTTTGGCAATATGAAGCTGGTGCAGTTTTGTCTCTCTGAATAAGCCCAATAAAGGAGGGGAAAACAAATGAATCTAAGTATTGATTTCTTGCTTCTGTTTACTTATATTTCCTTGTTACATTTCAAGGGCTTAAAAACTCTTATTATCTTATCTTATTTCTAGGCTTCCTTCTGTTTCCCTTCTATGAGAAAACACATTAATTTTATTTGTAATTGAGATACTTTATAGTAATTGGAGTATGAGCCTATTGAATGATTATATTAGTTTTCCAGATGTTTATATATATTCCGATTTATATAAAGGTTTTTTTTTCTTTAATTTTCTCGTCTACTCCTTTTCAGATATATTGAAGAAAACTATTCTAAGATCCGTGATGTTGAACGTGAATTGTCAAATCTTAATATGGAGATGAAACTCACAGCTGGGCCCAAGAAAGCTGGTCTGTGTCTTGGGAAATTTTTTTGTTCTTTTAGCTTTGTTTTTAAAAATTATTTATTTATGTATTTAAATTTTTTTATCATTCTAATAAAGTGAATGTTTTTTTCAGCGCTTGAACACATGAGAAGGAAAATAGAATTGGCAACTGAGCGAATTCAAGCTGCTAAGCTGAAGGAAGAACAAGCACGGAAGGTTTGTCTCATACTTTCCTTTATCTGTAGTTTACTTCCTCTTTCCATGTTCTTGTGTTCATAGTTGGTAATGGGAGCCGAGAACATAAGTCAATATGACTACATTTGCACTTCATCATTTCAGAAGAAACAAAGAGAAAATAAATAAATACTATTAAAATAAGAGAAAATAAATAAGAGAGAGAACTAGAGGGTCAGGTTGTTCTCCATATGTATTCCCATTTAATTATTTCTTGCTGACTTCCAGGCTTGGGAAGTAGCAACGAAGGCTGTAAAGGATGAGGAAGCTATAAAGCAGAACCTTTGTGAAGATCTAAATAATCTGGTATCTTAGTATCTATCTTCCATGTTACTCCTTGCATGTAGATTGTGTATGCCTTCTTTAAAAAAAATCCCTTTGCAGGTTCAAGAAAGTAATAACATCCAGTTTGCTAGACTGGAGGAGTTAAAGAGGCGGTTAGAGGCTTTAAATCCAAGCAGAGCATCCACCGCAATCCCCAATGTACGATTTCCCTCCCTTTTTTCTTCAATTTTCTGGATGCACACTGGCATTGATATTTAAGCGTTTTCTCTATATTTTTAAAGCCATATGATTGTATATTCTTCCGTTAAGTGTTGAGGTCACTTTCAATAAATAAAACATGACTTGGTTAGTTTACCAAAGTATCAAGCATTCTTCAAATGGCTGTCTGATAAGTGATAACAGCTATGTGCTGCTTAAATATAAGAAACTTGAGCGGATACTTATACTCAACTCAAGACTCTTATCTCATCAATTGGGGTCTGTTATACAGATTGCTTCCTTTATACAGATCCATGTGACTGGCAATGACAATTAAGTTGCTTGTTTTTAGTACTCTCTATCTATTTTAGTTGCTTCTCTCTGTATTTCTTTCTGCTTCATCTTCAGTCTTCCCATTGTATCAGATCATTTACAATGGAAGATAATTCTAAAGGATCAGCTAGTTTTCTTGTCACTCTGTGTCAAGAGCCACAGTGGTAGACCTTGGGATTTGTCTCCAATTACTGTTTCTCTTCAGTCGTGTGTTGTGATAGAGATAAAGAAAGAATCTTTCGTGTGCTAGTATTTGTTTTATTTGAAAAGAGTTTCTCACTTTTTGGCATTGTGTACAATCTTTAGGACCGGAATCCAGCTGGAACTCCACAGATCAGTGTAACTCAAGATGCTTCTGTGGGTTCTAATGGACTTCAATCATCTAGTGAATCATCTGCAAATACATCCAAGGAAGGAAGTTCTGGAATTGTTACCTCCCCAAACAGCCACAACCAACAACAGCCTTCAAATGACAATGATGGAAGAGCAAAGAGGAAAACCATTGTCCATGGAAGAGGAAGAGGAATTGGGGCAGTACCTAAGAGTAAAAATTCAGCAACGGCTGGTTGGACTGGCGCTGGGTTTGAATGAGGTATATTTGTTCAGTCCAAAGAACACAATTGTATGAATCCTGGAACTAGTTACAAAATTGTGATCGATTGTTCAACATATCCAAAGTCTTCTTGTATTTGAATTATAAAGGGATTGCAAAAAAATTGTCAGTTGAATGGGAGGATTTTATCAATTTGTTCCATCAACAATATAGTTGTAAACATATCACATGATGGAGTCAGATAAATTCATAAAAACACTGCGCTTTATGAATTTGAATTGTAGCAAGCAGAGGCGGGTAACAGCAGTACAGTTTGAGACAGGTTTTGTGGAGTAATGACTATTCTTCAGTGATTTGGTACGTGCAGCGCCATAACCTTGTGTGAAGATATTGTAGAAGAGATGAATTGGGTATGGACATTTTCTGGTCAAAGAAATTAAAGGCCTCTGGTGTGTGGTACCAGGAAATGGATGTAGACTGTTGTTGTGACTAGTGATTGATGGGGCTTAGGTGGAACTTTTACTCCAAATGCAATATGGGCAGCCCAGAAGCAGTGGTGCAGTTTATTGGTGTTTCTGCTGCGAGTATTAAGAGTGATATTTATGACACAGCTTGTACATTTACTCCTTCGGTCTAATAAAACTAATACTCCACCCCAGAAGCTGGGTGCCATCCATTACACCGTGCCGGCTTAAGTACTTGTGGTGGCCCCCTTTCTTGCTTAGTTTATTAGGTTTGTTGGATCACAATGGCCTAAAGGTTAAACTAATCAATAATTCATGGTCAATGCACCCCCCTCCCACTATCCTAGATCTATTTCGGATTTCCACCATCACAATAACAACCAACAATTGCTTGTACTTCATCTACCTATTTTGACTCATTTGATGTAGTGGGACTGCTAATTGCTAAACCAGATTAAAATATTATAACGAAAAAATCTTACTGCAATTGAAAGAGTAAAATTCAAGTGTAAATTAACGGTATATAACATTTAAAAAAAAAAAAAATCTCAACCAATTACGTTCAAATTTTTATTTTTAAATATAAGGAATACAAAACCCTTTATCCTTCGGAATTCTTCTCCTCTCGGCAGATGGACAGTTTGTTGCGGCCTCCAATGGTGTTCTGCAGCCGTGTTTTGATGCCCTCACGGCTGAAGGGTTAAGGCATCTATCAGTTCACGAGGTTGCTGTTTTCATAGATTGTTGTCCTAAAGCGCCACTTATCGGGTTTGTCTGCCACCCTGAGGTCCTATGTAGGGGTGGTTGTTGACGAATGCAAAGCTATGGTGTCTTCTTTTGCTTCTTTTTCTTTGTTTGCTATTCCTAGACATTTAAATATTGTTGCTCATACTTTAGCATCTAAAACCTCTGCTCAAGCTAGCTTTATGTACTGGGATTCTGATCCCCCGACTTTGTGGTTCCTCTTTTGCAGTAATATACACATCTCTTTGCTTTAAAAAAAAAAAAAAAAAAAGCCTTTATCCATTGCGACTATACCCAATGAAGTTTGATTGTGTTAGACTGTTAGGTGTTACATGTGAATTGTAATTTTGCAATTCATTAAAGTCCCCGTCAGGGACGCACTAGTTTCTTTGATATTTGAAATATATATATAGTACCCTTTCGTACGTGTTTAGGGGTCCCTAATCTCACCTCCTACCCCCCATCCACCCCATCCACCAAACTTTCAGATAACTTAATTACTCCATTTTTTATTAGGGAATCAATCACTATCTATCCCCCGCTCACTCCGCTCTCTTCTGATCTATCTCTAACGTTCACTTCCTCCTCATGGCTCATACCTCTTACCCACGTCACTGACATTGTCGCCACCCCCAAAGCTCCATCCATCCTCCACTTCATGCCACGTCCACCCTCCATTTTCTATTTTTTAACGTTAAAAAATAAACTATATATCTTACTAAGGAGTAGAAAATAAATTTAATTAATTTGGTCGTGGTTTAAGTTTGGTGGGGTAGGTCCAGATCAGACATGTAATTGGACAAACTTACTATCTGTACTGTCGTTTTTGTTCATGCTATAATCTACGTTACTTGACACCTGTTACTTGTTACTACTGCATGCATATCTGTGAAGTAGTTTAATATATGATTTCAAAAGGAAATGTTGCAGCCTTGCAGTTATGTCTTCTTTACATTTATGTTTGGTTCAAATTTCCACTCCCCATTATATTTTCCTTCTTCTATTACGTTTGTAGTTATTGTACATAATAAATGAGAACAAAAGAAATGACCAGAGGATATGGTAAAGTTTCAGACTGATATCTCTTCATTTGGTATACATACTCACACCATTTTAATTTATTGCTAAAATTAAAATAAAACTATAAAAAAATCAAACCACCCCCAGGCTAGGTAGCTAGCTAGCTTGAATGCATGGGGAAGAGGGATTGGAAAGAGTGTCATTATTTCTATTTTTGTGTTTTTTTTATTTTTATTTTTTACTCTTTTTTTTTTTTTTCTTGCCTTTTCTTTCTTTTAGAAAGTTTAAAAAGATGAATATCTAGCATATATACATAGAAAAGGTGAAAAGGGGAACGTAGGCCTTTTCAAAGGTGCAAAGCTAAAAAGTAGGGTGGCTATGAAAAGTAACATATATTTGGCGTCTATTGTTTGTTCAAGAATTTCTGGTGCTTTATAGATCTATGATTGAGATATAGGGTTAAATATACAACAAGAACATTCACAACAAAAAACCAACATTAACGGTAAGCTAATAAGTGGTGAGACATTTAACTTAATAATTATAAAATTTAATAAGATCTTTTGAATTTGAGCTAGTGAATTATGAATATAAATGGCCATTATCTTTTGGGGATTGAGATTTGATTAAGTACATTGTATCGACAGGCCGAGATACACTACTATATTACAAAATGGTGGACGACTTAATTAGTAACCACAAGTTACGAATTCAACTTCCAACGAGAATGTATTGACCTTATTAGTTTGAGTCGATTAGTCTCAAACAAACAAATTAAAGTTAGTTTATCTTTTTATGGTCATTTACCGTTAGAGTAACAAAACGAAATTTATTCTGAACCAACATCAAGTAGTAGTGGAGTCAAAAAATGGTGGGTGACATAGGTGGTTTGTATGTAGCATACACGCATGCACAGACAGTGGATTATTGTTGTTTTTGAGTGGTGATGGATATGTACTGTTTTTTTCTTCAAAAAAAATGGATATGTACTGTTTTAGATCAGAAGGGCTATTGTTTATAGGAACCTTTTTGTTTAGGTAGTACCTCGTACTAATGTTTCAGCTTCGAGGGTAATATATAGGAACCTAGCTTTTTGTTTAGATTACAGATCAGATTATTTTCAGGCAACAAACTTTCATCACCAAATTATAAAAACCCTTACAGAAATAAGGAATCAATATCTGATGTATATATGTATACGATGAATAAGTACAGGAACATATCTAATCAATCTACATGCTTTTCTTTAATAATTTTCATTGTTTAATTTGAAAAGTTCTGCCATTCTTCTTTTCATACATTACCTAAGAATCAAATCTTTGTCACTTTTACCGTCCTTTAAAAAAATTAAAGTTTTCATTTTTAACAAAATTATATTTTGAATTTCTTGAACTCGTCCCTAGATAATGGGAAGTAAATCGAGTCTGCCTAGCATCGAAACTCCTGCCCCTAGGCTCATGAGAGTATAAATTGAGTCTGCTTAGTGTCGACTACCCACACCCAATTGTATACTTAAGCATCAAATCCAAAAGACCATGGTCATGGGAGCAGTTTAATTTACTATTTTTGTTCTGAAGAAAAGATAAAAATTTTGAATTACCCTTTACCAGAGTTAAATTTCTTATTTTGCAGTTATATTAGTAGTATACTTAACAATCGATTTTATGATACAAAACTAACTCAGTTTAATTACTTGATGCACAAGATTTTAACATCAAGATTATCTAATGTTATGTATGTATGTATTAATGTATATAATAAGACAGATTAATAGTAATTAGTAGGATTATTTACATTGATTATTACTAAGAAAAATATAGAGGGAGGGAAAAAAAAAAAAAAAAAAAAAAAAAGCTTATTGGATATTATTATACAGAAGGAAAAGAGAAAAACAAAATGATTACAGAGTAAAGGCGAGAGGACAAGAAGCTAGGGCTAAAGCCAATGAAAGAGCGAGTATGTCGGTCCAAAGAGTGTGGGTCACGTGTACCCCACCAAAGCACAAGAAGTGGGCCCATTGGTATCTAATCACGGGGAGATGACCCATGTGACCTTCTCTGAGAAGTCAGAACCTGTGACGCTCTCTCTCTCTCTCTCTCTCTCTTCTCTCTCTCTCACTTCTTCCTCGTCTTTCACTGTACGTACGGACGTGCCACCCCCTCCAGGACCACCATCGTCGTTTCATGCATTAGTTCATCCACCACGTGACGTTCAATCTCAAGAACTATACTCTCTTCTTCTTCTCCTTGATAGAAAGCTCCGTTTCTTGATTTCTCCATGTCCGTTTCGATCAAGGCATCAATGTCTTCCAGAACCTGGCAGTCCGCCGAGGGAAAGCTCCGAACTTTCAAGCACAGCGTTTCCATCAGCTCCGACCCGTTCATGTGACGCCGGAATCCGACCGGGGAACCCAGGTAAGGTTTCAAGATTCCGGCGAGGAGTTCATCCACTAACTGGAAAACCAGCTTTCTGTTGCAGCGGAGCCGAAGTTTGGAGTTTTTGATGGCGGGGTGGTGGAAAAGTTCAATGTAGTGGAAAACGGAAGGGTCTAGAGGGTGGGAAGAGGAGTACCATTTGGCTAATGATACTGAGGAATCTTTTTCGACGCCCGTACGTTTTAGTATTCTCTGGATGTACTGAGATTCCGCTTCTTCGTGGCCGGACGGTGCGGCGCCGTTACGGTGATGTCTTGTGTCACGGACGATGATGATTTCTTTTTCTTTTGAGGTGGTTGGAGGGTTGTGGTACGACTGGCTCGGAGAACTAGATAACTGTGATGAGCTCCTTTTGGATGAAAGGGCGTCATCGTGCGCCTGCCAAACACTCACACAAGTAGACAAATGCACAAATTATGATGAGATTAAGAGTACCATGATGAACAAAGAAACAAACAAGAATTTGCTGGAAATTATAGTATATACCTGCGGCTTTTGAGGTAATTTTGGTGGGGGGGAAGAAGAAGGACGACAGTCTTTCTTCAAAGCCGGTAATATGGTTGGAACATTATTGGGGTTCAGAAGCTCACTTGATAGTGGAGTTGCTCTCTTCCCTTTCTTGCTTTCATGGTTGGTATTATTTGCAGGGCGAACAAACGGTTCTTCTTTCTTGCTTCTGATGGCGGCGGGTTTCTTGACTACGTTGTTGTTTTTGTTTTCTTGACATTTTGGTTTGGAAACAACTTTCTGGGGCGGCTGTGGTGGGGGAGGTTTAAGATTATCTGTAGTGTTTGAAGGTGGTGGTTTGGTGGTCGTCTTTGGTTCCAAGAATCTGAACCTTGGAGAGCAAGATTGGTGCGGCTTGGTTGGGCTAAAATCATCGTGGAGAAAAATGGATGGTTTACTAGGTTTAAGCAAGACCACCTGGTTATTGTCGAGATTATTATGGTTTTTGAGGTTGTTTTTGATGGTTATATCGGCGGCGGCGCCGACTTTTCTGCTGACGCTCTCTTTCACTTGCTTCACAATCTGCCTGGCGTAAAAGCTGGGGCTTCTGATATTCTCATCCACTTGCCGGAGAGCTTCTCTGGGCTCTCGCCGCCGGCTCCTCGCCGCTCTTTTACCAGACGACAAGTGATCGAATTCCTCGCCGACGTTCTCTTTGTTGATCTGGAGCGAGAGCCTGTGGTGATGGTCCACATCTGACTTCCTAGCCAGCGATATTCTTGGCGTTTCCGGCAGCGAAACAGTGCCGCCGCCGCCAGAAATATCTGCGTTGTCAAGAACATTGAAGCTCCTGGAACGGCGATCCTTGTGGAGCAGGTATCTGGCGCGGTCTCGCGGTTCTGTTCTGGGCTGCAAATTCGACTTTCTTGAATTTCCGAACGTCGGAGAAGCGTTCTCCGGCAGGAGGTCGAGACCCATGAGTCTCGCCACGAGATTTGGCGTCTTGGGTCCTCCCGGAGAGCTGCTGCATTCTGAAGAAAAATCGTCCGATCTTGGTTTACACGACGACGGCCGCGAGTCGCAGCTGGTTCTTATTTGATTAATCCCCACCTGAGAAAATTAAACCCACACTATTATTACCCACTTTACAAAAAAAAAAAAAAAAAAGAAGAAGTTGTCTTTCTCTCTCTCTCTGAAACCACAAAACATTGATAAATGAGAAATGCTTATTTTAATAATGCTATTGCTAAGGATAAAGTAACGGTAACTTACTGAGATATTATTCAAATTTTTTGCTTCTTCTTCGTCTTCTTGTTTCAATCCCAGCAGCATGGTTTTTGAAGCTGCAGGGTTTAGCCCCACCCTGGGCTCTTCCATGTCCAAGCTGTTTCTTGGTGCTTCAAGTCCTGCATTATTTATATTAATTAAAACCCATCAACAACTCACTAAAAACTAAACTAATTTGGAACAATCTCAACTAAGTTGGTCAGAGAAAGTAGGACTCTCAACCAGACGACTTTCCTGGTTTGAGTCGATCAGCTATGAGCACTTAAGCAAGACCTCAAGACAGAGTTTACCTGCTCTCGAGAGGGATTACGAGTTTTTTCTGGTCATTGAAAAAAATATTAAGGTAATTTGAAAACTCTCAACTGGGTGGTTTATGAAAGAAGTAATTACCAGTAGGGCGTTCAAAAGGGAGGTCTTGAACGAAAGAAGAAACCGGGCTGAGAGAACGGTGGCTATGGTGGTTCAAAACAACCTGGAAATGGGGCAGATCAAAGAGTTGAAGAACAGCACACATGCAGCCAGGACTGGGCGCACTACCATCGTCCACTTCTAATTGTTTTCTCGATCGCTTTCCTTTCTTGGAGGCCGAGGCCGAGGCGGCGGAGGAGGAGGAGGATCTAGCGCCGCCGCCGCCACCTCCCCAGTAGAACCACTCTCTGCCCATTATCCCTTTCTGCGCTGAGCTATAGCAGGACACAAGGTATGTATCAAAAAAGGAAAATCTGAATGAAAATGACACTCACACAAGTAGATAAAAAAGCAATTAGCTAAGCTTTCACTTTCTCTCTCTACTGTGATTCTTATCTCACTCACTCCCAAGGAGAGAGAGAAACAGAAAACATGAACACATACTACGGTCGTGTTTGTGAGAGAGCTCGAAAGACGATGTAAATGGGCGATATGGCCGCTGTGGGTGTTTTTAAATACGAGGTGGAGGTGGAGGAAGAGCAGATGTGTATTGGTTTTTGGGATCTGCAAATTTCTACCTTTCTTGTTTTCTTTGCTTTTTTTGAATCCTCAACTTGCCCCTTTATTCCCTCCACTTTTTTTTAACCCACTCTCTCTTAACCATGGTTAATTTCTAACCACACCACTCATATATATAAAACCTAATACTTATAAAGCTTAGTATCAACATCGCCATCAACTAATATAACTCCATAAATGTATATATGACAAATACTTTTGAATAGATACCAATTCAATATAAATGTTACTTTCATCCCCATGCATGTATATTTCAAACTAGCTCTATCTTGTTTTATATATCATTGCATGTGGGGCAATCAATGTTTTTTTCTTCTATACTTTACAACTTTAATTTCTTGATACTTCTTAAATATATATATAACTTTTACTTTTAACCCTCAATGGCTAAATATTTATCTTTAACAATTTATGCCTTAATTACTGCATTGGTAATGATAGCAGTTGGCAATTGTGATGTAAAAAGTCCAATTGTTTATATATAGTGTGTGGATGAAATTTGAAAAATATGAGAGTTGACTTTGATTTACGGTAAAGTTTGTAGTCGCTACTTGAATGTGTGCTTTGTATGGTAAACCAGTCTAGATTGCTCATAATTGATAGGCTCAAACTAGAAGATTAGATCAACAGACAGCTCACACGGTAAGTTAAACTTGAAATCTTGTGACCAGGATGAATTTATTGCTCACTAGTAATGAAAAGAACAACCTCAATGATTTGAGATTTTTGTGCTACATGAATAATCGAGCTTCAAACAAAAAAGAAGCATGAGGGTAGTTTCGTATACGTTTGGGACCCTCCAACCATTATGTCTTACATTTTTTTTTTTTCGTCCTGAATTGGCTAGCTATATTGTTGGCACATTTGTATTATATTCCTATCAAATACTCTATGAGTGTTTAGACCCGTGACACTTACCCTTTAATGCTCTTTATATCAACCGTACCCTAGCAAGGACGTCCACAACCTCATATGTGGTACTAATTTTGTCACACTTTCTTTTGCTTATTTTGATACATTTGATAAATTTTGAATATGTGATTAACTTTTAATTTTGAATTACAATTTAGTGTCACGAAATTACTCACACCGTATTTTCTTCAATATATAATTCAAATTATTTCATATAGCACCCTAATAAAATATTAAGGAAAATTCATGTTAGTAATTTGGGGAAGTAAAATGACTTTCTTTATATATCCCAAGACCTCAAATTAATATTAGAAAAAAAGCCCGAAGTGAGTTATGGGCTGGTGTCGGGCCATGGCAGGTGAATTGCTGGTAAGATTCCCGACAGTACAGAGCATGTAAAAAGACGGGAATACCCCTGACGTTGGACCTGAGCCAAATAGCCAAACTCCCATCTATCGTCACCGTCGAATAAAAAAAAGAAAAATGGAAATGGGAGTTGTGAGAGTGAGTAGCCCAGTCTGTGGAATGGTACTTTGGCAACTGGGCGGGCTCTGATCGGATACACCTAACAGCAGTTTACACAACGTTAATAAGTGGCCCAAAGGGGACCATTTCCAGGTCTATAATGTTTCCATTCTCTCTTTTTCTGCATTTCACTGTAAATTTCCTTGCAATTTCATTGTCTTCTTCTGGGGTTGTTATATTTTTCCTATACAATCTACTTTCACCTTCTTATTTATTATTGGAAAGTTACACTTTTTTTATTTAAAGAAAGTCCACAGTCATTATTAGAATGTGCGTTTTGGGTGAAGTATCTATCTCTGATCTTAACTGACAAAGTGTTACTCTGTATAAGAAGTTAAACCAGCTCAAGTTATCTATCCATAGCTAATCAGTTCAGATCAAGAAAGTTAATATGTAACTTCTATCAAGAGTTGAATTTGGAATCTTGTGGTTAAGAAACTAACCACCCCTGCATGGCTCTGGGCCAGGGGTTGTCCTTGAATTGGGAAAGTTACACTCTTGATTCCCAAATATTTGGTAATAGATAATTCAGTTTCTATATTATAAGCATTATTAATTTTAATCTTTGATTTGTTAGTGAATTGTGTGCAGTGGTGCTTTGGTCCCTCTATTAACATATCCATTAAAATTTACCGTTGCTCTTTAGAAACCTTAATATATTAACCAAGACTAATAATCAATGTGAAATAAATTAAAAAATAATGAAAGTCAATGATCTATGTTTATGACCATTAAATCATGGAATTGGAGTGCCGTTGGAGGAAAAAAAATAGAATATATTAGCAATATTAGTCAACTAGGGTTTTTGAAAAGTAAGCTTAACATATAAACGTAAAGAGTCTGTTTGGCAGAGCTTATCTAGAAGCTTATAGCTTATTTTAAGCTACTAATAAGTTATAAACTCTATTGGATAATGTTCTTAAAAAAAGTTTGTAGCTTAGAATAAGGGCTTATTTTGAAACACTATCTTAGGTAGCGTTTCAAAATAAACTAATACTTTCTAACTTTTTTTTCATCTTTATCCTTATTATTTTAAAAAGTGCCACTTTATTGATAATTGAATGACTAAAAGTGTTGATATTTATAACATAAAGACTTATTTTGCTAGTACCTTATAGCCTACATGCTTATAACACGAACATAGATAAAAATGTAATTTCTTCTTTAAATTTTATATCAGCATATTATTTAATTATTTTGTCACGGTAAAATATGATGTTTATTTTTGGAAAAGTAAACGATGAGCTTTAGAATACATTAAAAAGAAAGCACGGGGATAATTTGTGTATAGTATGACAGATTGACAGAAGGACTATACTAGATGGCGTTATCATGTAAGGAATTGAAACGCCATTATTTGTCCCTTTCAATCATTGCTACAAATTAAAGGACTGTGTTACATCTGTTGTTCAACAACACTGGAATATTTTTCACTGTTTTATACAGCAAAAAGGTTTAAGCTGATCAACGATCTTTGCCTATATTCTGTACTTATTTGTGGCATGTCTCATCTTTATACTGCTAACTAATAAATAATAATTTCCTGTTAAATAGAGGCTTGGAAGGCCGAGTCCAGTATTTTAATTTGTCATTGAAATATGGTATTGACTGTTATACAAGTATAAGAAAATAAAGTTATGTTTTTGTTACTAATTATTATAATTTTTGGTGTTGTGATAAATGATTGATCTTGAATTGACTATTTCAAATATTACATAGATGTTTAAAACCTATGGTAGGCATATTCATTACGATAATGTCATTTAATTTGAGCTAAAATATTAAACATCCAATTGTGTTTATGATATGATTGTAGTTATTATGAAAGCTATACACGTCTACAATCATGAATTGACAAGGACTTGTGCTCTCCTGGAAGCCTCAAAATCACAAATCTTATCTTTCACTGCATGCATGATTTCATTCTTTCATGTATATGTTTTTTGAATTGGTTCTTCTCCTTCCAGTAATAATGATGACTTTGATTTTCATTTGTTTCTTTCCTCATTAATTATAAAGCTGCTAATGACCCTTGCTTAGCTACCAAGCGTCTTTATAAGTTATCGAGATAAATCCGTGCGGGCTTATCTTACTGGTTCAGTACACAGTATTTGGTAAAAAAAATCAATGTTCTAACCTCGACAGTGACAGTGTGAGAATTATGTCCAAAGTGGGCAGATCTCTTGTGTATATCGATATTTAATTTGGCCATGTCTGCTGAATCATTGTGTCAGCGTGATTAATGTCAGTATAAAATTCAAAATACTTTAGGTATAGGTAATTATATTGTATCATAATATCAAGAAAAGTATTTTATTTGGAAAGTGTATAGTATAATAGTTAATATACAATATGATGAATATGTACAAAGGCAGGGTGTATGTGAGATAGAGAACAATATTTGAAATTCAAAATGGAGTTGAATAATTATATGGAGCAAAATGATCAAATATGGCAGAATTTGCATGTGATAACCTGCTTAGCTTGTTAGGTATATACATATATTATGTTGCCTGCTGGTGTATATCTATATGTATATCTATCCATCATTCAACATTTCAACTACTAAAACGGCTCTCTTTCTCTCTCCTCATTTTTTAATGTTGCCTGGTCATAGTCATACAAAACATTTTTTTTTTAAAAACCCAGTAAAGAAGTACTATATTTTTTCCCAATCCAGAACAAAGCCACCAGAGAGTTGCAATCTCAGGTACTACCTTAAAAGTTGTAGATTTTTGGTTACCATTCTGACCAGTAACTGCATACCATCAATTCATATATGTATACAACAAAGCAATATATTGCACAAATTATAGGCACTTAGATTTACGGGAAAGCTTTTAGCCACCGCTCAAAAGTGTACTCTGAGTGAAGCCCGTTTTGTGACCCTTGTCGACAAATTACTACAAGGATATAAATCAACCTATATTGTCCATAACTGACCAGCTCAAACCACAAAATAACTCATACCAGAGTTGAACTTGAAAACTTGTCAATATATAAATACACGTACATTTGGTATTATATAATCTTTTTAAAATGATATAGATATATCCAAAGATAGATATACATTTTGAGTGGAGCGAGCTATATACTAATGGTATATAATTAATAAGTTGAATATATTGTAAACTAAATTCAAATTAATAATAATCTAAGCTAGGCCGGGGCCTAATGTTTTACTAGACCTAATTAAAGAGAGACATATGAAGCAAATTAAAGATGAATGGAAGTTTTGAAAAATGGAAGGAAGAAGAAGACAAGTGAATAGGGAATAGGGAAAGTTAGAAAAAACTTTGTGATGTATGATAGAAGAGTGTGTATGGAGGAACAAGGTAGGGTTGCCTTGGAGTGGCTGTTGTCTTCACCTTAATCATTTTACTTGTTCCTTAGCTTCTCTGTCTCTCTCAAACATCAATTATATGCATTAGTACTGCAGTAAACAATGCCCTACCTTATTGGCTTATCCTATGATAATGATAAAGATAAATGTAATTCATTTAATTTTCTTCATTTTATTTATCTGGTTTTTAGATCTCCAGTGCTGTAATTTTTTTTTTCTCCCTTTGTTTTTGGGGTTGATTTGAAGAATATTTCCATGTATTTGGAGCTTTTTCTCCCTGGGGAATGGCATTGTTGGATTTGTTATATTCATAAGATGACCAACAATTGAAATTTGAAAGGTGTGTTATGTCATGTCTTAATTAAATAGTTTGACTGGTGTATTTTTTTAAAAAACTTTAAGTTTAAACATTATATGCTTAACAACACTAATACTTATATGCAATGTTGTAAAATTCCGCTTAGGCGCTAACTGTTTAGGCCTCCAAGGCGCCGACTAGACCTCTTAGGTACGGACTAGGCCGCCTAGTCGGCCAATTAACTATAGGTCCTGTTTGGTAAATGGCTATTAGCCGTGAGCTGATTGAGTTAATTAGAATGTATAACTAATTGAATAAGTTGCTTTGAGCAGTTTTTTGAATTTTGGCATTTTGGAGTTACAAAAAGTTAATTAACCAAACACTTATATTGATTTTTTAAGAGTAAAAGACAATTTTGGTCCTAGACTTTGGCACGGAAACTCTTATTATGACGAGGACAATTTTGGTCCTCCGTCTAATTTTTTATGATGGACTAAAATTATCCGTGCCACTATAAATCTAGGACCAAAATTGTCTTTTACTCATTTTTTAAAACAAAGTCAAACAATTAATAGTGATCAAATAAGTCAAAATTAACTGATAAGCTAACTATTTTACCAAACAGGACCATTGTTTTTTTTAAATTAGTTATTTTCACTCAAAAGGACATTGTTTTGAGCGAAATAATCCTATGTAATTAAAGACACATAAATACTTAACATAATACACAGAATTCATGTTTATAATGTACAGAATTCATGTTTATTATATCGTGTATATATATATATATCTATTATAAACATAAATTCTATACATTATAAACATAAATACTCTAATTTATGAAGTGTCCACAGGGTCCACGTATAACGATTGGGAGGGGGATGGATTGTTGTCCGTCCATCATTACTGCTTTAATTGAGGGTAAATTACAGCCCAGAAAACCACCAAAACCCTGAGTAGTTGGACTGAATGTAAGCCAACTACTTTTAGGCCCAAAGACCTACTGGAAATGGACGGGCCGTACTTATTACTCCTGTCATTTCTTTAAACAGCCAACTCCATTCAACCGCACAACTTCAAACCGGAATTTAATGTGAATTTATTTAGTCAAAAACTTCAAATATCACTTTTCATCAAAGAAAGAATGAAAATAAAGTGATCGAGAATATAATGCATGAGGAAGAAGATACGCTAGGGATGTTGAGGACAACAATGGTATGATCGAGGTTCGGTCTTTTGGATGGGTGAAGCTAAATACAAATATAACGGGTACGGTTCGAATCGTGCACTATAAAAACTAAATCGCAATTGTACGGATGGTTCCGATTTGATAAAATCGGGAATTGGTTGATTTCAGTTCCAAATTGGCGGGGGGGGTGAGAACAATGCTAGTGAAGGAGAAGTCAATAACTCTTAAAAATACAAAAAAAAAAAAATAAAAATGTAAGAGAATAGGCAACTTAATCTTAGTAAAATTAAATACAAGCCTAAATTTATTTTGATTTTTTAATTTAACTTTAAAATTTAAATATTTGATATAACTATTTTAAAAAATATTCTGAATGAAAAAAATTGTTGAATTTAGATTATTTTAAAAATAGAAAATATAATTTATTTAAAACAATCTGGTTCGATCGGTGGTTCAAACTAAAACCTTCCTAGAAGGTTTCGATTCCAGTTTTGATTTATCATTTTTCAAAATTATAAATCGTCGGTTCAAAATCGAAAGTGAACCGTGATTAGGTCTAGACTGTCACTGAAGGCATGTTACGTTACAAGACAAGCAATGTGGGTATGGTTCAAGACAATGAAGGGATTGGTTATGGAAATTCACATTTAATATCAGCTCCGAGTATTGAAGCATGGGCTTACGCTAAACTTATCATAAACTTCACAGTCTAATAGAATTCCTAATGTCTTGTAAATTTCTAATTAATTTTTTTTTTTTTTTTTTGAATGCTACTAGCTCTATTACAATGTAGTATCCGTTCATACTTTCTCAAAGTACTGAAACACAAAGAGCCAATAACGCCTCCACTGAGGCTCGAAATCACAATCTTCCAAATGGAAGTCCAACCCGGATACCATTAGACCACATAGTCCTGGTTAATTAAATTTGAATTCCTACATTATTATTATTGGAGAAAGACTTTAAGTTGATCGATAATCCAATTCAGATAGCTCATTTTTATTTTCAACTAGACATGAAACGGAACAATCGTTATGCAGTGGAACCGTGTCCGCCTTGCAAGATGGACACGGTTCTATGTTCATAATTACTGAACTATATGTTCATAATTATAAAGTTATATATTCATAATTTTAGAACTTCATATTTATAATTATTAAACTCTATATTCACAATTACAGAACTCTATGTTCATAATTACTGAACTATATGTTCATAATTATAAAACTATATATTCATACTTTTTGAACTTCATATTCACAGTCATTGAATCTCTATATTAATAATTATAAATAACTATATGTTCATAATTATGTTCACAACTCTTTATTCATAATTTTTAAACTATATATTCATAATTATAAACAGTTTTAGAACCGTATCCACATTAGATAGTTTAACAGAATTACTAGAGCAACCAGACTGGCGAGGCGAAGCCCAAATCCAAAACGGGCCGTGGAATGGGCAATCGAGCATTAATGTGAGCAGCCCAATATTGGGAAGGAGAATCTACGCAGAGAATATTCAGAGATGGATTGATTCTTTAAAAAAAGAAAAGCGTCGCCACAATTGGTGCGGATGAGGATGCTCACACTGTAAAATCTTCCCGTCTAAAAGGCCGCGAGAGTCCACGTTTCAAGATTAGTGGAGGAGGGCCCACCATGACAGCTCAACACTGGCACGTGTCAGAAGGTAATAACATTTGTGTCGTCCCCACCCCTAAATTATGGCCCACCCTTCTTCAACGGACCCCGCCCCCCTCCCCTACAAAAGCACACCTAAAGCCTGGAAGCTTGGAAACCCAAGTTGAGCTGTGGGGGACCACAATTTCTAACTATTTTTTTAATCAAAATAATTTTAAACAACCCATATGAAATATGTGTTTAAATAAAAACAAAAAAAAAAACAAAAATCTCAAATATTTAACAAAACTGTTGAGTAATAAAAAACACAACTTCACTAATAATTTAAGAATTAAAAGTGTTTATACCTAAAACATAATGGTTGAATCCACTATTACTTTATAGTTCGTGGACCAAAGTGTAATTTGTTTCAAAATTATAATATAATTTCGTAAATTTTAATTTCAATCTTCAAAAAGTAGTATTTATTTATTGTTAATAAAAGCAACGGAAATAGTTTTTTTTTTTTTAAAAAGTGTTAAAGCTGTCAGTGTATCGTCACTCATATAATGGATTCATAGCCCTTAATGCAATGAAAGTCCTTACAAGTAGCCCACAATCGCATTTTCATGACAGTACCTCTAATTAATTTCTTTAATGTCAAACTTTTACAGCAGCATAACGTCACGGATTTTTATAATAATAATATTATTATTATGTTAAACTGATCAAACTAGTTAACTACTAACTAATTCCTTGTAATTTTTTACTCTTAAATTTAATTTAAGTTTATAAATGGCAATTAACAAATGATGATAGAATTTCGAGGCGGTCATGTGAGGCAAAATGGGATGGCCCACAGGACTCGGCTAAGGCTGCGGACCACCATACCGCCCCCACACCACACGGATTACTACTGACCCCACTTTTTTTTTTTTTTTTTCTTCCATTCACTTTATATTTGACCCACCCCTAACTTTGGGGACCACGTCCACCTTTCTCTCGGGGCCCACACACCACGTGCATTCGCCCGCGGCATCACGTGCGCTCCCCTCCATAGCTTTAATTTTGACCGGAGTGGAGTGGAGAAAAAAGCATTCCAAATATTCCACAAATTTCTTTTGCTAACGCTAAAGGCTAAAGCCGATCTTTATACAAATTTTGGATGATAATTAGGGGAAAGGAAATAGTAACTAAAGATGAACTGGGAAAGATTGATTAATTAGCTGCTAATCCAAAAATTTAAATGCAAAAAAAAAAAAAAAGGCTAAAACCCTTTTACTGACGGGTCATCTCTTCTCTCTGGTTAGGGGTTTGGGGAGGGGGTTTTTGGGGGTGATCGTTTGAAGGAGACCCAGAAGCGTCCATGAATTGAAGCTCTTTCTTGTCGTAAATCTGCAACGAGAAATCTCTTAGCATTTGGGTGGTGGCAGTTGCGGCGGTGGTGGTGCTGGTAGAACTGCAGCTAGGGGCCATAGTGGAGACTTCCTTCCCGGAATTATCTCCGCCGTTTGACAGGGAGGAGGTCATTCGAGCTTGGGGAAAACAAACTCCGGGTTGCATTGCGGAAACGAAGTTAGAAATGGGCCTGCCGGGGACGCTGAAAACGGGGGTGGCTGTTGCTGGTATGGCCCACAGTTGAGCCTGAGGTTGACTTGAAGGCCCGGCGGCTGATGGTGGCTGTGGGAGCATAAGGAATGCCCCGCTGGGAACCGCCGTTGTGGGCACGACACCGTTCGCGGACCCCACTGTCCACACCGGAACTAGCCCTTGCGCGGTAATCGGAGAGACGGGTGCGAAATTGGAAGGCTCGTTCACGTCGAAAAACTCGCTATTTCCCCCTCTCTTCCTCCTCCTCTTCGTCGCGGTGGAATCTCCCTCGTTTTCCGTCGCCGGGGACGTGGTTGGAATCTTCAGCTCCCCGTTCACAGACACCGCGATGGCCGGAACCGTGCCGGTGCCCGTGGCCTCGATAATAGCCGGCTCAGCCCGCTCGAGGAGCCAACGAATGGTCTCTCCGTCCGACTTGTGGCCCAGCTCGCGGGTCAATTGAAAAATTCTGGCAGCACAAGCCGCCGGCATACGAACTCTCCTCCCACGACCCTCCACCTTGGTATGGCGGTCCTTGGAGGACCTCTTAGGCAGAGATTTCTCCAATGTCCGCACCTGCATATGGCCCCCCAATGGCAACGCCACCTGCAAATCATTTTCCTCCGGCTCCTCCTTCAACAAGGGCACACTATCAGACGACCCAGCCGCCGCGATTTCCGACGCCGGACCACCAACAGCAGTAATCGTATATTCATTCGAGTCACCCAACAGTGGATCAGCCGGGCTGTTAACCTCCTCGTCGGCGGCGACGACATCGAAATTTTGTGGCCGGTTATCAATCGACGCCATATCGAAGAAAAACAATTTCTGAAATCGAAACAGATAAGCGATCAAAATACCGGAAACAGAATCGGCAACATACCGGAGAGAAGCGAGACTCTGTAATTTTTACCACGGCGACGGCGTCGTTTCACGGGGAACAAAAAGGAGGTCGTCGTCTTCGTCGTCGTACCAGTTGACTGAAGCTAGGCTTGAATCTGTGTTTCAATTCAGAGATTTTACGAAAAATAAAAAGCTTTGAAGAAATATATAAACAGAGAGAGAGAGAGAGAGAGAGAGAGAGAGAAACTAACCCTAGAAGGAGCCCACTTACCCTTTAGAAGGACACGAAAAGAGGGGGACCCAGCAAACCCTATATGTTGTGGGAAGAGAAGATGATGGACGGCTCAGGGTTAACAAAGGAATGGAATAATGTGGGCCCGGAGATTTCGTCACCGGTGGGACCCCCCTATTTACTCTTGGACCGTAATTATTTTGGTGTCATCTTGTTTTATTACTCCGGACTTCTTTGCCTCTTTATCTCACTTAAATCACCATTACCATAAGTAGGATTCATTTACACTTTTTTTTTTTTTTTTTGTGAGATTACATTTCTTTTGTTGCATAATTTTCTAAAAATTGTAAATTAATTAATATGAATCAATATTTAATATACTAATTATTGGTTAATTTATGAAAAAACAAAAGGCATAAACAATTATTAACTTATGAGATATACATTTTATACATAGCGCACATTCAAATAATAATTATGAGTCTTCTTGTAAATCAAAGATATGAATTAGATGACACTGATCTTTTTTAACTTAGATTCTTAATTCATAAGAAAACTTATAATCAGAAAAAAAATTATTATTTATATGATTTGTAATATATATATATATATATATATATATATATATATATATATAGATTTACATTCAGGTAAAAACACATCTTAAAATATAAATCTATGGACAATTTGACGCCGTTGGATGGTGGTATTGGATGGTCCAAATTTTTTCCTCCTACGCGCTGTGTGCATGTAAGTATGTAAATGTGTGCACGAGCTTTGATGGATGGTTGTGATTTTTCCTCCTACGCGCTGTGTGCATGTAAGTATGTTAATGTGTGCACGTGCTAATCCCAGAAATTGTTGGCAGTACGCCTTGTGTGCATGTAAGTATGTTAATGTGTGCACGAGCTCAAGTTTGTATTTTAAGGGGGGTTTGTATTTTAAGGGGGTTTGTATTTGAATGCAACCCTATATATATATATATATATATATATATATATATATATATATAGACAGGATAATGGTGCTGGCACCCGATCCGGATCATAAGCAGCATCTGACCCGACATCACATGGAATGGTGCTGGCACCCGACCCGGATCATAAGCAGCATCTGACCCGACACCACATGGAAACCCAACAGGCAAAACTCCAGCGGGCAGAATTCCAACTGCTGTCACATTTACTGCCATTGAAGCCACCATTGATGAAAGAGAATTAAAGTCTTAGCTCCCATTTATGCTTCATGTTGTTACCGTTAGCAGCTTTTGTATAAGTAGGAGCTCCCCTCAGCTTGGTGGGGGACGTTCAATACTCTGGACAAAGACACTGTACTTTCTATACTGAGACAAAAGCAATACAACTATTGTTACTTTCTTATAACGTTATTATAGTATTATTATTACCGGTAACATTATTACCGTCATTGGTGCTTTCATTGAGAGCCTGAGTCCAATACTCAAGCAGGCTACAACACAACTCTTTTTCTCTTTCAACAGCAAGCTTGAAAGAATGGCGTCCTGCAGCTCCCACGGTTCTCGCAACGTGAACAATGGCAACGCCTCAGGTGACCTCCGTGACCTACTCACCAACAATCGCGGAGGGGACCTCCGAGAACATCTCAACAACGGGAGGCCCGGGGACCTTCGAGATCAACTCAACAATGGAGGAGACCTTCGAGACCAACTCAACAATGGAGGAGACCTCCGAGACCAACCCCACAATGGGGGGGCGAACCAAGTCATGAGCCTCCAGGCAACCATTCAGCAAGCAGTGACAGCGGCACTAAATCAAGTGGCGGTGGGACTGCAAGGCCAAGTGCCCCCGCCGCGGCCTCAGGAAATAGAGGTAGAATCCCCACGGAGAGTGGATGCCCAGGACGCAACCCGTGCTGCGAAGGACGCAGGGCGTCGCACTAGGACTAGGGGCCCGGGAGAGGGCACCCAAAGAAGCGGACCAGCCGGACGGCAACCTAGGCCCTCCCGCTCTGCCTTAGAACGGTTGGGACACGGGGCGCCCGCTCGGCAAAGGCCGGAATCGTGTGCCGAGGGGTCTTCCGCTAGAGGCCCTCGCCGACACAAGGAAAGAGAAGCTGAAAGATCGCCCACAGAAAGGATGGGCGAGTCTCGTGGGCCGGTCCCGCGCCGTCACGATGACGAGTCGGCCCCGCGTCGACACTTGGATGAGCGACGCTTCGATGAACCAGCCCCGCGTCGGCACTCGGCGGAGCGACGCGTCGATGAGCCGGCTCCGCGTCGGCACTCAGCGGGCGAACGATGCGTTGGTGAGCGAGTTCCACACCGACACCTAGAGGGATGAAACGTCAAGGAACCAGCTCCACGTCGACACTCAGAAGGACGGCGCGCCGATGAACTAGCCCCACAAATGGAGGAGCGGCATCCGGCCCCGCGCCGGCACCCTGACGATTCGGCCCTAGTCGAAAGGCTGCAAAGAAGGATCGGGGAGCTAGCAAGAAGGGTGGAGGCACGGGAGCAATCTCCGGAACCCGAGGTACGAATGGCAGCACCATTCTCCCCAAGTATCATGGACGTACCTCTGCCGAGGGACTTCAGGTTACCCGCCATCAAGGCGTACACAGGAGCCACGGACCCACGTGTCCACATGACTAGGTACAAGGCCGCTATGGTAATGATTGGGGCAGGAGACGCCATCATGTGCCGAGCATTTTTGTCCACCCTGGATGGAACGGCCCAAGATTGGTTCAACACCATCCCGGACGGGTCGATCCAAAACTTTGGAAAGTTGTCCAAAAGTTTCCTAACGTACTTCTCGGGTAGCATACAGCGTAAGAAACCATTCTCTCACCTCTATGTGGTAAAGAAAGATAGAGGCGAGAGCCTCAAAGACTTCCTGATCAAGTGGAAAAAGGAAGTCAATAATGTCTACGACTTCGACTCCAAGGCGGCGATCCCGATATTCATCCACGCCTTGAGATCGGGGTATTTTCACAAGCAGCTGAACGCCCACCACCCCCGCTCTTACGAAGATTTGATGAGGACGGCTAGCCGCTATGCCGAGGCAGAGGACGTCGACAGGAAAAAGAAAGATGAGGAGGACGGCAGGAAAAACGGGAAACCTGGGAAAGCTGGTCCGTCCAGCCAAGCACCGCGTTCGAACCACCCGGCCGCAGGGAAAGGCCGGGACCATGAACGACCTCGCCTGGTTCCCCTGCGTAACCTAACTCCTCTTACCCATCCCGTCAGCGTCATCCTAAAACAGGCTGAGGAGATGGGAATAGTCGAGTTCCCACCAGAGTGCATGAAGGTCTCCCCAAAAGGAGACCAAGCAAAGTACTACAGGTTCCATAGGCAACCCGGGCACAACACGGATGAATGTAACGTACTGAAGAGACAAGTAGAAGAACTCATCCAGCAGGGCTACTTCCGGCATTTCGTCAAGCGATCCAAGCAGCAGCAACAGCCGCAGCGCGATCCATAAAAAAATCCACCAAAAAATGTCTGGAGGAAGGAGGATGGCGCCGAGCCGTCCACCTCGAACGCCAAGAAAAGAGAACATGACCAAATATCTGAGCAAGATGATAGCGAGAAGGAAACCGAGGTGGCGCCCAGGCGACAAAAGAAACACGCCATACACTTTATCTATGGTGGACCTGCGGGGGCGACACACCCACAGAGAGGAAGAAGTGGAGCAGACAACTGTACGTGGGAGAAGTGGTAAGTCTTCCCAAAGGAAAGAAGCAGAGGCGGGAGGCCATCACTTTCTTTGACGAGGACCTCCCCGAGGGCCCCTTACCCCATCGCGATGCACTTGTGATCAAGATGGATATCAATGACACGATCGTACATCGCATCTTGGTCGACACGGGAAGCTCGGTTAATGTGATGTACTATGACGCTTTCACCAAGTTAGGGCTACCTAGAAGCCAGCTCAAAGAGGTACGAACTCCACTCTCTAGGTTTACTGGGGATTCGGTGGAAACAGAAGGGTCGGTGACCCTGCCCGTGGAAATATGCACGAGCCCCAACATTCGCAAGCTGGACATGGAGTTCATCGTGGTAAGACTCACCTGCGCGCACAACATCATACTCGGGAGGCCGGCACTAGAGGACCGACCTCAAGGCCATAGTATCGGTGGAACACTTGTGTATGAAGTTCCCCACTCCGAATGGAATAGGGGTCGTCAGAGGTGATCGACGGGCAGCCCGCAGTTGCTACGTGAAGGCATGCAAGAAGATTGGCAGTAAGGACCTACAGGTCCACACGATCGCGGAGAAAATTTTCAAAGAAGAAGAGGCCTGGCACCGCACCGAGCCCGTGTCAAAGACGGAGGATATAGTTCTGGATCCCTCCAGACCAGACCGAGTGGTGAAGATCGGCATAGGCTTAAGCCCAGAGCTAAGGGCCCAGATAGTGGATGTAATCCGCCGTTCTCACACGGTGTTCGCATGGGGGCCAGAGGACATGCCGGGCATAGATCGAAGGATCATAACCCACAAGCTCGCAGTCGATCCCAGCGGAAAACCAGTGTATCAGCGAAAAAGGTATATGTTGGCAGAACGAAGAGAGTTCGTGAAAAAGGAGGTGACCGCATTACTCAACGTAGGGCACATCAAGGAGATTTACTACCCACAGTGGCTGAGCAACGTAGTCTTGGCTCCCAAAGGATCAACATGGAGGATGTGCGTGGACTACACGGACCTCAATAGGGCATGCCCCATGGACCGCTTTCCACTACCCAATATAGATCAATTGGTGGATGAGACGGCAGGATGTGAACTCATGAGCTTCATGGACGCCTTCCATGGGTACCATCAGATATCCATGCATGAGGGGGACGCAGAGAAGACCGCTTTCACCACTCCCGAGGGGATATTCTGCTACGTGGTCATGCCATTCGGATTGAAGAATGCCGGGGCCACATACACCCGTATGGTGGCAAAGTTGTTCAAGACAGTACTGGGACGAAACATGGAAGCATACGTGGACGACATGATCGTCAAAAGTCGTAAGGCCACCTCCCACATCGAG